TTTCTGTAGAAGGCTCTTTACCATTCTCACTGCTCGTTCAGCCTCACCATTGCTCTGAGGGAATCTCGGGCTGGAAGTGGTGTGGGCAAAGCCCCACCCTGAAGCAAACTTTTGAAAGTGTTCTGAGGAGAATTGTGGGCCATTATTTGACCTTAACTCTGTTGGTATACCATGGCGTGCGAATATGGACTTTAAATGGTCAATCACTGCTGCTGATGTGGTAGAGGACAGCTTAGCTATTTCTATGTACCATGAGAAAAAGTCCACTGCAACCAAATACTGGCTGTTACTCCACTCAAAAAGATCAGCACCAACTAACTCCCATGGCCTTGTAGGAAACTCAGTTGGCATAAGTGTTTCTCTGGGTTGCTGTCTTACCTTTGCACACGTCTCACAATCTGCTACCAGCTGTTGTAGTTGAGAGCTCAGTCCTGGCCACCATACCGACTGCTTGGCTCGCTCCCTGGACTTTACAATGCCCTGGTGACCTGTGTGCAGTTGTGTCAAAACATCTTTCTGTAATCTCTTTGGAATAACTATACGCATACCTTTTAAGAGAAGATCATTTTCGACAGTCAGGTCTCTGTATGCTGGTGATATGGGAAACACAGACCTGGTATTTTGAGTTTGTCCGGCCAGCCGTTCTTGCAGTAGAGTTTGATTTGTTTTAGTGTTTCATCTTTGTCTTGCTGCTCTCTTATTTCCTGTAGTCTCTTGTCAGTTGCAGGAAGGCCTGAAATCACCTGATGTGCATACAGGTCTATTTCGGCCCCTAATGTCTCGTCACAAACCATCCTTTCTGGTGCTCTGGACAGCACGTCTGCAGTTGCTATGTGTTTGCCCGGGACATGTGAGATGGTGAAAGAGTATCTCATTAATCTCATTCTCAGTCTTTGAACTTGTGGTGGCAGTTCGTCTAAGTTCTTGGAGCCCAAAAGTGGTACTAAAGGCTTGTGATCTGTCTCAACATGGAACCCAATGCCTATAAGAAAATCAGAGAATCGCTCGCATGCCCAGGTTATGGCTAACGCTTCCTTCTCTATTTGAGCATACCTTTGTTCTGTGGGGTGTTAATGCTCTTGAAGCGAAGGCCACTGGCTTGGTAGCATCATCCTCTTGTTTCTGAAGTAGCACCGCTCCTAGTCCATAGGAGGATGCATCAGCTGATACTGTTGTTTGTGCCTCGGGGTTGTAGAGTGTGAAGTTTGGTGGTTTACTGAATTCTGCCTTAATGTTGTCAAACGCTGTTTGTTGAGCCTCACTCCAACACCACATGTTTTTGGTACTGAGCAGTTCTGTCAATGGCTGTGTTTTCTCTGCTAAGTGGGGAAGGTACTTGCCTAGATGATTAACCATTCCTAGGAATCGTCTCACTCCACCCACATCGGTGGGTGCCTCCATGTTGCTGACCATTTTCACTTTTTCTGGGTCTGCTTTGACTCCTGTAGTGTCAAGGATCTGTCCTAGGAACTTGATTGGGGTCTTTGCAAACTCACATTTCTCGCTTTTCAATGTTACCCCTGCTTTTGTGAGCCGTTCGAGGACTGCGACCAGTCTCTTGTCGTGCTGGGTCTGTGTGTCCGCATAAACCAGAATGTCATCCATCTGGCAGACAACTCCGTCCAGCCCCTCCAAAAGCTGAGACATTCGTTTTTGAAAATGTTCAGGGGCTGAGGATATGCCGAAACAGAGTCTATTGAAACAGTACCTTCCGAATGGTGTGATGAAGGTTGTGAGAAGAGCTGACTGCTTGGACAAGGTATTTGCCAGAACCCTGAGTTAGCATCGAGTTTTGAGAACACCTTTGTGTCCTCCAGCTGTCCTAGTGTGTGCTCAACTGATGGCAACATGTGTCTCTCTCTTTTCACAGACTTGTTCAGTTTGGTCAAGTCCACGCACACACGCACTTCATCTCTGGTTTAGGCACTGAACCATTCCTGCACACCAGTCAGTAGGCTGCTCTACTCTGGAGATTACTCCTAACTCTTTCATACGAGCAAGCTCTCTTTTGACTTTGGGCAACAGGGGAAGCGGGACACTTCTGGGGGTTGACAGGGCGAATGGCTTAGCGTCCGCTTTAAGCTCAATTATGTATTCCCCCTCCATTCGGCCTAACCCGCTGAATAGTGTTGGAAACTGCTGCTTTACTCTCTCTACTGAAGTGAGGGACACTGTTTCTACTCTGGCCACTAACCCAAGTGCTACACATGCTGAGCGGCTAAGTAACCCTCCTGTCAGATCTGCTCCTACATACACAGGCTGTACTGTAGTTTTGCTTGGAGTGCTCAGGTTAGCAGTAAATTTCCCTTTAACTGCTAGTGGAGACATTCCTGACCCATACAGTTTTAGATCTGTGGGTTGCAGCTGTGGTTTTTGTGCTAGAGTGTTGTACTCTTTTTAGGCAAGACAGTTACATCCGCTCCTGTGTCAATCTTGAGCCAGCAGCCTACATTGTTTACTTTTATTTTAGTCAACCACGCATCCTCAGTTCTCTCTGAGGCTACTGTTCCCAAAAATGCTACCTCTCTTTCTACACTGTCACCACCTGCTGCACGTATTTCTCCCACTGCCCCAGACCTGCACACTCTTGCATAGTGACCCTTCTTTTTACACTGATTGCAGAGCACCTCTTTGGCTGGGCACAGGTTCTTGCTGTGAAAGGGTGTCTTTCCACATCGGTTGCATTGGCTTTTCACATTCTTCTCTGTGTTTTGTGGCATAGACTGTCTTGGTTTGAAGTGTTTTACTTTTGCTTTAATGATGTCCACATTACAAGGATTTTCCTGCTTGATGTTGTTTTTAAGAAGATCCTGCTGCTTCTTAACAAGCTCACTTTGACAAATCCGTATCACTGCTTTTTCTAACGTGAGCTCTGCGTCCATTTGCAGTTGCTCCGAGAGCCTCTTGTCTCTATTCTGACCACGAGTCTGTCCCTTATCATTTCACTGTGCAGCGCCCCGTGGCCACAATGCTCGGCCAAGGCATATAGGGATGTAATAAATCCATCTGCAGTCTCTCCCGTTTCTTGCTGCCTTTGGTTGAACTTTGCACGTTCAAAGATAAAATTTCTTCTGACTACGAAGTGCGCCTCAAGTTTATATTTGAGAGTGTGGTACTCACTCGCCTCCTCCTCAGTCAGGTTCAACGAAATAATCACGTCTTCAGGTTCATTGCCCATTGTATATATCAGAGTGTTAACCTGGTTTTCTTCCGACTGTAGCTTGAGTCCGGATGCTATCCTGAACCTCTCAAAGCGTCGGATCCATTTCGGCCACTCTTCTGGCTTTGAAAAGTCGAACTTCGGCGGCGGTGATACCTGGAAGGCTGCCGAAGCGGCTGCCATGCTGCTAATCGCAAGATGCTAGTTAGCGTTTGCTAATTTGTTAGCTTAGCTCTTACTGTGGCTGTTAATGCCAACTTGCAAGATGAGTTCTCTCCGGTGAGAAAACTTTCGTTGTCTTGATGTCCTTCCCTCCAGAGTACTTCTGACACCATGTTATGGTAGCCCTGCGGTTTATAATAGCAGCAACATTAACGAGACTGGGCCAGCTCTGTCTTAACGTAGCGACTCCATTTATTGCCAAGCTGCAACAACCCAACACACACACGGCACAGCCACCAGGGGGTGCTGCATGAACGATTGAATTAGTCCTTACCATAACATGCGTGGCTCTCAAAATGAGGCTGTGCTCATTATCTGGTTTGGCCCGGTGACTGCAAGGTCTGTACTGAATAGGACTTTTATTTTTAAGTACTTTTTTACCCATCATGGACTGAGTTTCATGTGCATCGATGAGAGCTGGATACCTTCGGGTGACTCAATTGCGCTGGTGGAACTAGTTCCTGTGGGCTGTAACTGTTTTAATGTTCTAAGACCATCAGGCCGAGGTGGGGGCCTGGTTGTTGTTTATAAATCTTGTTTTAAATGCAGATAGATCATTCCCTCAGTGGACATGCCTCCTTTGAATTGTGTCTGTTTAAACTTGGCTCTTCTCCTCGGCTACACGTGAGGGTGATTGATCCACCACTGAAGTTTGACTCTGACTTTTTGAAGGACTTATCAGATTTGGATGCTCTGACACCATACCAAAAGTGCTTTATCCGTACGCTCATCCCTAGCTGTAACCACCCTGCCCTGCCTCCTCCTTGCTGCCTGCCGGCTGTGATCACAAGCAACAGCAGAGTAGTTGCCGCTGCTTCTTCGAGAAATGGTGCAAAAAAAATCAATAAAATTTGGGATCTTGTAGGCGTGGCGGTGGGATTTTAACATCAGATCGCTGCATAAGAGAAAACCATATAATGGACTGGGACAACACAAGGATCATAAACACCGAACAACAGAAATACAAAAGATGGATAAAAGAAGCTATCGAGATAAGGAGACGTGGATGTGGGACCATGAACAGGGACGATGGAGTTTACTCGTTGGATCGCGCATGGGACTGCATCATCGGAGAGGGGAGAGCGGGCAGCAGAGGGCGACAACGTGGATAAACGGAGAAGGAAGTGACGCCACCATCAGTGTCAGCCTGACGAACTTTGCAGCCGCAAACGAAACGTTGCAGGTAAATAAAACCTCTCTGTGTTTTAAAAAGAACTAAAAGATGGAATTAGAATTTCAACACAGAAAACAAACAAAAAAAAAATAATACAACTACACATGTCTACAACAGCATAATACACTTATTTATATAAGTTATCAGCAAAAAAATGTTGATTTTGGTGTGACTTGCTCTTTAAAGTCAAGAGAGAAAGAAATTTGGTCAGATTTAGATGATGGAACATCAGATGGGAAAAATGTTATTCACTTGCATGTCTGGGCTTGTGAAAAAACCGCTTATAAACAAAAATTTTACAACAGATGTAAAGTAACTTGTCTTTATGTGATTGTCTGCTAAAGTTATGCGTGATTAAATGTTTTTGTACATTCTATTCCAGACCAGTAGGTGGCGGTAATTTACGTTTACGCTGTGTGACAACCGCCAGAAAGTCTTTACAGAAGAAGAACCCGGAAGTTGCTAGCAGCGTTAGCTTGTTGTGCGGGTGTGTGAGGTGAACCTCTGAGGCTCTGCAGCAACAATGTCTTCAGCTCAGTCTCTGAGAGAGTTTATCAGAGAGCGGCTAACTGATGCTGCAGCAGAAATATTCTCCGAGTTTGAACAAACCATCGTCCGCTACGAGGAAGAGCTCGATCGTCAGCGCAGACTGCTGGAGATCAGCTGGAAACCACAGATCAACTTACACAGAATAGGTATGAAACAGCAGCGGGACTCATGAGGTTTTACTGAGGACACAATCTCAGGACAGTCTGCTTGGGTCCGTTTGCTGTTCTGAAGCTTTTTGACACAACTGAGCTGAAATCAGCCGGTAAACTTTGTTCCACTTTAGAGAAATAAATCAATAAAATTTCAGGGGTTTTAGGAAGTTTTTCATTTTCAGGAACTCCACTAAATCCGTTTAAAAGAGACAAACTTTAAAGACTTAGTGAACGTTTCCAGCTGATGTTCTAACAGAACGTCAGTAGTGAAAGACTGGAGGGCAGCAAACAGGAAAATTTGAATCTGAGAACTTTAAGGGCAGGTTTTGATGCCAAAAAGCGCTTCTTTTCCGAAAGGAAGCAAAATTAATTTTAGATTTGGTGTGCAGACGTGTAAAACTACAAATGTGTCTCACCAAATTGGCGTAAATGAACATGAAACAGAAGAAATTTTTATAAGTATACTACGCTTTGAATCTTTCTTTCAGGATGAAAGGAGCATTAAAAGTGGAGAACACGACCATAAATCTGGCCATGTGATAAATGACCCACACTTGTATAGCGCCCCTCAGAGTAAGGACTCCAATGCGTCTGCATACACTACAGTGTGTAATTCATCCATTCACACACTGATGGTGATGAGCTAATATGTAGCGACAGCTGCCCTGGGGCACATTGACAGAGCTGCCGAGCACAGGTCCCACCGACCACCACCAGCAGGCAAGGTGGGTTAAGTGTCTTGCCCAAGCACACAACAGCAGAATTCTCAGTCCGGAGCCAGGATTGAACCTGCAACCTTCCGATTACTGGACAACCCACTCAACCTGTTGAGCTACTGCTGCCCCCAGTAGTAGCATCTACGCTGTCCGAGAGGAGATTCTGTGGTGATATGTGACGCCTGATCTGTAGTCTTAGAATTTTTGAGATTTTACAAGCTAATTAAATTTAATTTATGTGACAAATCTAGTCGAAACGCATCGATTTCCGTTTAAATTGAAGTACAAAATATTTGTGTTTCACGGCGTGTAGACTGTGCGGATTAGATTACAAGTTTGCGTTATTTTATTCTGTATTTTTTATTACTTCCAGGCGTGTGTCTTGAGAGCTACCGGTAGCTCGTGAGTGTTTTGTTGTGGACCCCTGATTTATACATTACAGAACATAGTGGAATTTCTTTAATAAGATGATGATCGGTCAGATTCTGTGCTATGGTTGGGCCTGAAACCAGACTGAAAAAGGTCAAATAAGCCTCATTTCCACCGACCTTTTTGGCATGGAACGTGGAGGGGCGGCTCGCTAATTTTTCTGTCTCCGTTCTAAAACTGGTCTAGATAACTGAACCGGACAGCGCCAGTCACTGTACTTTTTGGCCCCCATCTATTGTAGGTCCAGAAATTTCTGGGGTGGTATGGTTAGGGCGGAGCAACAACACAGTCCTCTGATTGGGGGACAGAAATATGTCACTACTTGCAACAAGCAAAACAAATGTTGGAGTTCCGTTTTCTTTATTTTCATTAGTTGCACATGAACGGGTAAACATGCCAGCATGTTTTGAGTCATCTTCAGATCTTCATACATTCCTCCGTCATATTAGTCATGTTTTTTTGTCAGCTGATGGCAACCGAATGATCCGAGTGGACATGGAACGGTGTCATGCAGTAGCCTAAGCAGAGAGGCCCAGATTTCCATCTCCTAGCAACTTTTGGCTAACCTCCCCCTGGGGAATCCCAAAGTGTTCCCTGT